AGTTAGCCCAGGGGGCATGGAGTGTTCTTTCCTCTATCTGTGTGATGGCACACCACCCTTTTTTACTTTGCGTTTAGCAGTATGTTCTTGAAATAACTGTAGTCTCCACAGAAATCTTCCCTCTCCTTTTTTGTTACTGAGTTTTTTTGTTTTGTTTGTTTTGTTTTGTTTTAGATAGGATGTCAGCATGTAGACCAGGCTGGTCTCCAACTTGTGATTCTACCACTTCAGCCTCCCAGGGCTGTGGTTACAGCGTGGGGTGGGTCCACGCCCCATGCTTCTACCTTCTTTCTGTGTCAGCATGAGCCCACTGCTGTGTGTACCACGGTTTCACCAGCTCTCCCATGCACAGGGCTGTGAGGTTTCCAGTGCATTTTAAACAGTGCTGCAGTGAATAACTGTGCAGATGGTTCCTCCAGCATTGGAGGCGTGCCTTTAAGGTAGATTACTAGAAGTGGGATTGCTGGGTCACAAAGTTTGCACAAGGCTCTGTCCTACTTTGCCCGCTTTCCTGCGGAGTGGGTCCCTCCCAGCGGTGTGGGAGAGCCTGTTTTTTGCAGCCTTGTTGACCGGGCTTGTGTCACATTTGGAAAGTTTGCCAGGCTGATGGATGACAGATGATGTCTTGCTATTAACTTAATTTGCATTTCTCTAAATACGAATGTATTAGTAACCGGTTCCATTGCTGCACTCACAGGAAGAGAGCTGCATCTCGTGCTCAGCCCACCTTTTCCTTTTCTTTCAGTCCAGGACTGCAGCCTTTGCAGTGATGCTGCTCACCTTCATGGCGCCCACCAGACCCCTCAGTTAACCCTCTCTGGGAGCACCTTCACTGACACCTCCAAAGATGTCTGCCCCACTAGAGCCCTTTGTTTCCTTTTTTTTGTCTTTTTGAGACAGGGTCTCCCTGTAGCCCCAGCTGTCCTGGAACTCACTATGTAGACCAGGCTGGCCTTGAACTCACAGAGATCTGCCTGCCTCTGCCTCCTGAGTGCTGGGATTAAAGGCATGTGCCACCACCCCGAGCATAAACCCTTTGTTTCTTAATCTAATCCAATTGACAGTCAAAATCACCATCCCAGTGATGGATTTTGAGCATTTTATTTTGTCTGAGGTGTGCTTGTCTGAGGTGCCTTTCAGCAGCTTCTTTGTAAATTGTGTGTCCTTTGATCATTTTGCAGGTGGAGGGTGTTGTCACTAACTTTTGTTTTGTTTTGCTTTTGTTCTTGTAAATGTAGGCTAAGCTGGCCTTGAACTCCTGCCTCCACTTCCCAAGTGCAGGGATTACGGGTTTTTGCCACCACATACAGCTTGTCCCTTGAGTTTTATGAGTTTCCTGTATGACCCTATTAGCCCTTCCTCCAGGGCATGTGTTCTACATACCTTATCATTTTCACTGGTGTCTTTGACTCTTGGGAGTGTTAGTTTTCGTTTTTCAAGGCAAGGTCTAGCTCTATAGCCCAGGCTGTACTCACATTTGAACTCCTCTTGACCCACCTGCCTCAGCCCTTACTGCTGAGCTTTCAGACCTTGCCTTATGCTTGGCTGTGATCATTTTGCTTTGCCTTGAAAACATTCTCATTTTTATGCAGTCAGATTTATCAGCCTTTGTTTTGTCGCCTCTGGGTTTCGAATGTGATTAGATTCCAATGTGGGGAGGAAGTCTCTCAGGTTTCTTTCTAGCAGCACTCTAATTCTTTATACTTAGATCTTCTGCATTTGAACCGTGGGCCCTTTTGGTTTATTTTTGTATATGGTATCACATACAGGTTTAATTTTTTTTTCTTTTTCCAAATGGCTACCCAGTTGTCTGAAGAACTTAGACACAGACCCGTTACCCGGGTGTGACGACACTTATAATCCAGTGTGTGAAAGGCTAAGGGAGAAGATTACTGTAAATGCAAGGCCAGCCTGGGCTATGGCACGGCCTCGTCATTAAAAAAGAAAAAGTAGGCCAGGTGTGGCAGCGAATGCCTTTAATTCCAGCACTTGGGAGGTGGAGGCAGGCAGATCTCTGTGAGTTCCACGCCAGCTGGGACTACAGGGAGACCTTGTCTCTTTTAGACCAAAAAAGAAAAAAAAAAGAGAAAAAGCAGAAGTAACCCAGTAATTTTCAGTGACAACCTGGCATATAATTTCGAAGCTTTCCTGTACTTTTAGTTCTGTCCTTTGTCTGCTCTGGTTTTGCAGATATGCGCCCGTGTCATCATGATAGTTTAGTTTGTGGCCAAATATGAGTGACCATGGCCCAGGACACAGATTCCAGCTACCCCAAATCCCATGTTCCAACATGGAAGCAGTTTCATGAAGTTTTTATAGTAAACAGAATGAAGAAAAGTCATAATCAAGACACATTCAGATACGTTGGTAGAAACAGTAAGTGGACATATGCAGCAAAAGAGAACTCTGAGCTGAGGGCCAGATGCTGTCTGGTGGCAGCTAGGGCTTTGTTAAGTTAACACTTCCCAAAAGGTTTTTTTAATCTGTTAGTCACAAGATGTTGGATCAGAAGCAGAGGTGGCCGGGGGTGACTCCTTAGGGGCTAAAGATGGCCCGAGGAAAACTGCAGACAGGCTGTGGATCAGCACTCCCCCTCTCCACAGTCACTGAAGCAGTGGTCCGTCAGCCTTGCAGGACCTTCAGTCCCCATGCAGGATTTTTCTGGGAACTCCACTTCACAGTATGTTTTAATGTTCAGTGATTGTCTTTTCCAGGGTGTTCCTGAATATTCTTATGTTTGTTTTTCTTTATGACCTTTAGTATCTCTTTGTGTTAACTCTGTGAAATATTAGTAGCCTGTTGGTATTTTTACCAAGATCAGGTAGAATTTGTAGATTAACTTAGGAAGAACTCGTCCTCTTTGTAGTCACCTTGTCCAAGGATAGAGGACTTGATAGCTATTCATATGTACTTTTTCAGTATATATTTTTATTAATTTTTTGCATTTCATATAATACATCTTAATCATATTTTGATCCCCTCCCCTATCTGCCCCCCCCATAGCCCTCCCACTGGATTTCATGCATTCTGTCATAATATGTTAAGGCCTATTGAGTCAAGTTTGTGTACCTATATGTCCCTCGGTGTGAGTTCATCCACTGGAAAGAAGACCAGCTCTCCCTCACCCAGCAGTGATCAATTGTCAGTAGTTCCTTGGCTAAGGTTGGGGCCTTCTGCCCATTTCCCCAGTTTTTTGCGGGGTTTTGACTGGTTTGAGTTGGCATGGGTCTTGTGCATGTTGTCACCATTGCTGTAAGTTCATATGAGCAAGTTCCCAGAAGCCTGGAAAGCTATATCTTTGTGACTCTTACAATCTTTCCAGTCCCTCTTTTGCAATGGCCCCTGAGCTGTGGATGACTGAGGTTTAAAAGAGGAGTCTTATCCAGGGACACACACTCTGCGGGCTCTCATTCTCTACAATTTGGCAATTGTGGCTTCTGTGTTCATCACCCTCTGTTGCATGAGGAAGCTTCCCAGGTGAGAGTTGAGAGATACATTAGTGTTCTCTCTGCCCTCTGTTCCACTGTGTTCCATGTGCCTTAGGTGTGGAGGTTCTGATGTGGATGTGTTACTTAGGGCTGGTCACCTCACAGATAATTATTCTCTGTGTTTGAGCAGTTGTGGAACTCTGTCCGCCATGTCTTCACCTGAAGTCAGGTCTGTTTACCCCAAGAGTTATTTTAAGTGGTTTTTAGCGTTTATGATTAATAATCTTAGTCATTAAGTATTGGTCTTAGATGTTAGAGAATGGTAAATCTAGCACTCTGATCCCATGACATAAGGTCTCCCACACTGAATAAATCCATTAAGGTTAAAAAGCCCAACTCTGAGGGATTGTTGTAGTTAATGGTGACTGGTGTCATTTTTGTCAGTGATGGACCCACTGGAAAGAAGCCCACGCCCCAGTAAACACCCTCCCACTGGTACTCAAGGATGCAACCATAATTAAACTCAGTGGACACACCTACATACAAACACACACACACACACACACACACACCCGCCCCCCACCCCCACCCCAAAGCCTGGAGAGCTGGAGGTGACTTCCTGGAATAACAGTGGCTTCAGTGGAAGGGGTGAGAGGAGAGGGTAGAGACCGTTTAAAACTCATTGTATGCAAGGATGAAGCGGTCAAAGAATAAATGAATATTTAAAGCCAGCTTAGAAACTAGTGGTACTGTGGGTACTGAGCAGAATCAGGGAAACTCAGAATCGCCAAGGACACAGTTTTACAGCTGACTGTCGACACTGCAGTGATACAGCAGACCTTACTGGGAAGTGTCTTCTGACTTGGAGGTGTCCAGCAGAGAAGGGGTGCTGACACCAGGCCAAGGAGAGACAAGTGGCTGCTTACAAAAGTTCTGCCGCTGAAGTTCTGACAGCTAGGACGGCCTGGCCTGGGAGTGCACCACACCTTGGGCAACTTGGGGCTTTAGGATGCCCTCCTTTCTGCTGTGGACGGACTTCTACAGCCATGCTTTAGTTCATAGGGATGCAAAAGCCAAACGCCAACTTTCCCAGCGATTACCTGGTTGTGGGCTGTGTGTGCAGATCGTGAGGTCAATAAAAGTAATTTGCTCTTCAGTGTCAGTAAGACAGAATTATTCACAAGTGAACCATGCATATTGTGTTAAGAAAGTGTAACTCCGCATGCAGCAAAATGTGTAGAAACAGATAACTAGTTTTTGAACAGAATTTATAGGTTTGGCACATTTTAAATGAACCACTCACTATAGTTTATTACATGAATTGCAGCCAAAATTGTTTAAAATTACTGTTTTAAATCTATAAAGCCAAGTAACTATCAGGCTGCTAGAACTGATGAGGTTAAATATAACTGATGGCTCTTACTCCTGAAAGTCACCTAGGTCTGCACATGCCCTGTAAAGTCTTCCAGCTCCATAGGGGTCCGTATTTGGAGCTGAAGGTTTCTGACAGGAAATTCAGTTAGAGTGTTGTGTGCTCCGTGAGGCCCTGTGAAATGGAATTCTGTGTTTCAGAAACGGATGTGCAGAAGACCAGAAGCCAACGGGCACGAGCGTGGTAGCCACACGGTGAGCCCCTGCACGCTGTTGTCCTGGCGTACAGAGGACCAGGAAATTCGGCCACAAGCCCCCCCAGCACCTCAGCCAGAGGGCAGCCAGGAGAAGCCAAGCTCAGTGGTATGTTTCTGTTGCCACCAAACCCATTGTGAACATGTGCAATTGCTTTAATAAAATTGTGATTATTACTGTTCTGACTCATCTGCGCCTGTGATTTGTTAATAGATTCTTCAGAACAGTGGATGGAGCTCAGCCCAGCTGTGCCTGAGGTGTATTGCAGGAGAATCTGTAAGTGTGTCAACCTCACTGTGACAAAAGACTAACTTCTTAAATGTTAGAGTCATAAAACAGTTAGTAAAATATACAATTACATTTGTAAGGAATAAGGTGTAAATAAAACTTAGATTTGTACTTAGCATTCAATTGAGGTAAAAATATTTCTAGCTTCACAGAAATAGAAATTATAAATACGTTTAAATTTCTTACTAAAAAGTGTGTGTGTGTGTGTGTGTGTGTTGTGAAGTGTGGGGCTGCTCAGCAGACCCAAGGAAAGCAAGCCCTCACATACCCTGCATGGAGGTCCTAGAGGGTCACTTAAGGTCTTGTAGAGAAGACCGACCTCACCTGTCCCCAGCAGCGGTCAGCTTTTGTTCTTTCCTTTCTGCTTAAGCTTTTCTAGTGAGTTTCCGGAAACTTTATATCAATTTTAGATTTCAGAAGGAAACACACAGTTCAGCATCATCATTAAAGGAAGGTCAGAACCCTCCAGAGTCAATCCTCAGCCTCCGCTGTGGGGCTGGAGATCATAAAGTATATATTAGCATAATAATACCTTTTTATTAATTTTGAACTTACTCTAAGAACAAGTTAATATGTTTTTGATAACCTCTGTAATTCTTGGGGTTTTTTTATTTTAAATTTGAAATCTTAATATTGCAATAAAGTAGAATTGTATTTAAATTCCACGTAGAAACCAGGAGAGAGAGAGAGAGAGAGAGAGAGAGAGACACTGTCTGTCTGTCTGTGTCTGAGACTGCCCCCTAAAGATCTTTAGGGAATCATATTGCTGTTTCTGGTAAGCAGTAGATTGAGTTTATAAATTATAAGCATCTTCAGTTGATGCAAGACTGGCTGCTGGATTTTACCATGAAAAACACTGATTCTGTCCTAAACAGATCTGACACCCTGACAGCTGCCATTCACACACACCCAGGAATCTGAAGTCATTAGGCAAATACCAAAGCAAACTTTAACATAAAGCTTCCTTCATGAAGTATGCTTTGCTAACTGTTTTTTCCTCTGTCTTCAGAAAATCTTCCACAAGTGATATTGCATATGTGGTATAATTCTGAATAGCGGTAAAATTTAAGATCCAACAATTTGAATTTAGTGTATTTAGGTTGGTTCCTGTAGCTGCTTTGGAATGCACACAGGTCACACTTAGATAGAGAACCGTGTCCCCATTGTGGTTAGCTCACCTCTGGTCGTGACTGACTGGTTTTCTTCCTGTGCCCACCCTACTTCTGTGGGAGATACCTTCAAATCCCCTGTCTGCCAGAGGCAAACATTTGGAAGGACTGTGAATTCCCTACGCTTTGAGAGGTTGTGTTCCTGTGTGAATGGTTAAAGAAAAAATATTTAGTTCAAGCAACTGATTGGATCATTTTGGCTAATGTTCTGTTTGAACAACAGTACCTATTTGATTAGGGTTTTTCCTTCCTTTCTAATTCCCCAGGCTTTCCTCCTTTAGTTTCATAGGAAATGAATCTACCAGCAGAAAACCTACACTGATATGTAAATATCATTTTTTGGTTAATGCTCAATATTCTTTTCATCTAAATTTCAGAAACTGACTTTAAAAAATCAGTTTCCTTTTATTTGTAGTTATTCTCAATAAAATTTCACCCAGGCTTGGGCGGTTTAATATTTACACCCACTATTTCTAAAAGTCTTATGTAAATAAAGATTGAAATGTGAATTTGAAAAGTCACACCTCCTGATATTTGAACAGACTACGCTGCATATATCTTCTTCTGATAATATGGCTAGTTTTTCTCCTAAGCTTTTAAAATAATAAGACACTTACTATTTTTATATTCTAAAACATCAAAAGGTTCAGTGTTAAATAAAAAGCAAATAGTATTTTTTAAAATGCAGGATCCCAGGGAGCAGTACTTAACATCAAATCACTGGTGGGCAGCAACTCCGAACTTCAGAGGACTTTATTAAACTCAGGCTCGTTCACAGCTGCTGCCTGTACACACAGGAGCACCCCCTCCCCCGGCCAGCCCACAGCTCCCCAGTTGACTCAGAATGGCTCCCCTGCATCTAAGCAAGGCCAACGCTTCGTCTTTGTGGTTCACATGGAACCCCTAACAGCAGGCAGGCTCGCATGTGCCTCTTGGCTCGTTTGGTGGCTTTTCCCCAAAGCTGCTGCTCCTTTTTTTAATTAATTAAATTGTTTATATTTTATGTGTCCGACTGTTTTGCCTGCATGTTTGTAAGTGCACCCATGTTGTACAATGCCCATGGAGACCAGAAGAGGGCATTGGATCCACCTGGAACTGGAGTTACAGACGGTTGTTAGCCACCACATGGATGCTGGGAATTGAATCTGTGTCCTCTCCAAGAGCAGCCAGTGCTCCTAACCACTGAGCCGTCTCTCAGTGTATTCTTACCTCAGCATGCTGGTCTGATCCCTTCTGCCCCAAGTCTTGGGCAGAGCTGTCTCTGTGGGGCCTGGGCACAGCATCAGTTGTCTTTTATTTATTTGCATGTGTATATGTGTGTTACATGTATGTGTGTTTGTATGTGTCAGTACACATGTGTGTACACATGTGCATGTTCATGTGGAAACCTGAACATTACATTGGGTGTCTTCCTTGATCCCTCTCCACGTTATTTGTTGAGGCAGGTCTCCACCAGTTTTAGGTAGTCTGCTAGCCGGCTTCTCTTGGGCATCGGGTCTCTGCCTTTCAAGTACTAGGCAGGCCCACCATGCCTGCTGGGCTCTTGGGTGGACTTGGGGTGTTGGAACTCCACTCTGACTGTCTAGTTGTGCTCAGCCCTCTGTCTGGTATGTTCTGGCTGGGACATCAGGCTTTGCCGTCCTCCGTGTGGCTATGGAAATCCTGCTCTTCTATAAGTTCAGACCACTTAGCTGACATAACAAGGCTGCCAGAGTCTGCAGAGTAATCAAAAGAAGATCCACGAAGGGTGGTCCGGATTGTAAGGCAGAAAACGATAGGAAGAAATTCCATCCTGAAGACCCCCCATTCCAAGTTGATTTGGCGATGTCCTGTTCATTAGTTTGTCAATCCTGCTCCCGTTGGTTCATTTAAGTGCAAAGAATAAGCTTGTATATTGCTAGTCAGGTTTTGACATGGACTCTATTGTCTGACAATGGTGTGTGTGGTATGTGTGCCTGCTCATGTGTGTGGAGTGGATGCATGTGCATGATATATATACCTGTGTGGTGTGTCTGTGTGGAATGCATGTATGTAACATAAATGCATGTATGGTGTATGGGGGGGTATGTATATGGGGTATGGGTGTATATGTGTGTAGCACATGTTCATAGAGTGGGGGGGTGTTTGGAATACATGTGCATGGTATATATGCATATGTGGTATGTCTGTGTATCTGTGGAATACATGCATGTGATATATGCATGTGTGGTGTATTTGTGGAGTATGGGTGTGTGTATAGAGCATGTGTCTCTCTCTATGTGTGTATGGGTGTTTGGAGTACATGTACGTGGCACATATGCATGTGTGCTGTGTGTCTGTGAGTGGAGGTGAGAGATTTGTGAGGCCGGCCATATAGGAATGGGGTGCAGGGGAAGGACATGTTTGGCCTACACCTGTTGTTGATTGTCCCTGTAGGGACAGCAGGAGGAGGCACAGTGTGAAGCTCACTTAGGACTGGATGCTGTTTCTCTTCCTGCTTCCTGCTCCTTTTGCCAGTCAGTGAGTGGCTCCTAAAGTACGTGGTGTTCTTTACGTGCCGATCTGTGGGCTGCTGTTGTTGATTCCTTTCTCTGTATGTATTTGAGTGCCACAGAAACAAGAGCATCTAGACCCCCCCATTCCTCCTTTACCTGCGCTACAGAGGAATGCTGCCTGTGCTCGACGTGGCAGTCTGCATGCCATGCTGGACTAGAGGACAGGGATGCAACACAGAAGAAATATCAGGGTGCAGCAGTCCTCTGTGGTAGAAAGCTTGGGGTACAGAAATTCACCTTGTATATAGAGAGATTGGAGTGTGACAGTCTCCCGTGGTAGAAAGATTTGGGTATAGCAGTTCACCCTGTGTGTAGAAAGATTGGGGTATGACCGTCTCCTGTGGTGGAAGGACAGGGTACAACAGTCTCCTGCGGTGGAAGGACGGGGTACGGCAGTCTCCTGTGGTGGAAGGATTGGGGTACGGCAGTCTCCTGCGGTGGAAGGACAGGGTATGGCAGTCTCCTGCGGTGGAAGGACTGGGGTACGGCAGTTCCCTCGTGTGTCCATCTCAGCTCCTTCTCAGCCCTCTTCCTCACGTCCCGACAACAGAAGGCAGTCTTGGAGGCTGAGCGGGATGTCATTAGTCTTCTCTAGAACCCACTATGCCGATGCGCTCCCCTCTGGTTCAGCAGTCTGACCTCATCTGTTTACAGGTGAGGAAGATGAAGTCAGGTGGGAGGTTAAGTGGTTGGCATGGAGCCTGTATCTAGGGAGGAGGCTCATCTTTTGGCCACCCTGTGGCTTGCAGTGTGTGTGCCAGTGGTGCATGGTCGCTGGCGGTCGCCGTACCCCTCCGAGGAGACTGGCAGTGACGTCCTGCATCTCTGTGGATTGGCAGACACACAGAAAGTTGGTGAAGACAGAGTCCAGTTTGTTTAAGCTGTGAGAGAATAAGCTGACCAAGGAGGACCTTGGCTGTCAGTACTGCCCATAAGGAGCACCCCTCCCCACACCCCAGACCAGCTGGAGTAGATCAGTGACAGTTCTCAGACCTCACTTCTCAACACCCTTCCCCCGCCACAAATTCTCTGGAATGTGGTGACCAGACCAGACCGCTACTTTAAAAAAAAATTATTATTTTTATGTGTATGCACGTATTGCCTGCGTGCAGGTAAGTGCACCCCTGTCGTGCAATGCCCGCAGAGAACAGAAGAGGCTGTGGGATCCCCTGGGACAGTTGTTAGCTGCCATGTGGGTGCTGGGATTCAAAGCTGGGTCTTCTGAAAGAACAGCCAGTGTTCTTAACCGCTGAGCCCCCCAGACCGCTACTTTTAAATCTCAGCT